GAACTGCGTCTTGGCCTTAACGATAAAGTGCTTTTTCAGACTTGCTCACGTATGTCTTTTTTTTTTTGGCGCATTGAATGAGTTTTTCTGTCGAAAAATTCGACAGTTCGTCGTTTTTTGAATTCTGTGATAAAATTAAAATAGTTTTTAGGGGGACGCGGCAAAGCAGTGGAGTTAGAAGATGTAAAATTCCATCAATGTGTACGACTCTCTCGATTTGAAAATGACCGCACAATAAGTTTCGTACCGCCTGATGGCGAATTTGAACTGATGAATTATCGCCTGACAACAACGGTCAAACCGCTAATTTGGGTGGAGGCCTGTATGGAGAAGCATGCCCATTCTAGAATTGAATATATGGTCAAGGTCACCCATTTATCATTGATTTCATCAGCTGTTTGTTTGACATTGGAATTTATGAAGCTAATCTTTGGCGCATTTAGAATGCATAACATTGAGTTTAATGTTTAAATGCCATTTGTGTTGAACATTTAGGCGAAATCACAGTTCAAACGACAGTCAATTGCAAACCATGTGGAAGTTATAATTCCCGTTCCGAGCGATGCGGACTCGCCGAAATTCAAGACTTCTGTGGGCTCAGTTAAATATGTCCCCGAACTGAATGCGTTTGTTTGGATGATCCGAAGTTTTCCTGGTGAGTTTGCATGGAATCGATTCCTAGACCCTTTACGATTATGTTAGTTGATTCTTACTTTATACAGTACATATTGATATCCGCATGGAATACCTGAATAACACCCACATAGTTACTAATAAACAAATTCAGTAACCCATATTTTTATTTCCAAGCCGTGTTTATAAAACCCGCTGACACTTCTGAATATTTTTAGGAGGCCGCGAATATCTTATGCGAGCACATTTTAGCTTGCCATCAATTGTAGTTGACGAAGCAGAAGGCAAACCACCAATTTCTGTCAAGTTTGAAATACCATATTTTACAACAAGTGGCCTCCAGGTGCATTTCTTTAAACATTTTTTTTTTTTTGATAGCTGCTTCGAACAGTAGTAGTGAAGTACTCTGTTTTCTGAGTTTCAAGAATTTCTATTATTACTGCGAGCAGTGTGGGTCAGATGAATGAGCTCTTGCAAGATTTTAATGCATCGGAAATGAAAATGATGCAGGGTTGGTCATTTTGCATGATCTTTAATTACGTAGGCTTGTAAACAGTCACTTCTACCCGGAATGGTTGTTTATGACCGTAATCTTCAGTGTCCGCAACCTTAGGGTTTTATAAGAATAAAAGACCGGTGCCGATGAATTGGCTTCCACTTTTTTGATAGCATCGATTCGATAATAGCGATGTATTCATTACGTAACTTAAATGATTGAAAAAGCGGCGCCAAACAAAAATTCGCCTTAAAAAGAAATTTGGGTGATTCAGAGCCATAGGAATAAATTTTTGTGATCACATAACAGGCAGATACTCTGAAAGGTAATTGACGTAAAGGAAATCATTGTCAGGCGCGGGAAACCAGAATCGCACTTGAGGGACGTGTTGTTCGTTTTGCTGGCAGTCAGTGGGCACACTTTCCCGTAAGAAATGTTTTTGGGAATGAATTTGGTCATTCTAATGGCCTTTTCCGAAAATATGATACGTTTTGATGGTCATTTCCCAAATGTAATAAAGCCCGGTAATGAAGATAGGCAGTCAGCCTTGAACAAGAAAGCATACTGAATATCGTCTTGTTCTTGCAATGTTCCTGCAATGCTATGTCAAGCAGAATGGCGATTGCAGTGAAGTGCGTGCGGTCTGTGTGATTTTTTTTTCTCACTATCTGTTTAGGTACGATATTTGAAAATTATCGAGAAAAGTGGTTACCAAGCGTTACCATGGGTCCGCT